TGCCCTCTTCTGATTTTTGCAGCAATTTGGCTGAGATTTCTGGCTGTCTTTCCTTTCCAGGTTGATTTCTGACTAGCTCTCGTCAGCCAGCCCGGGGTCTCAGTAGGAGAGAGCGCAGCGCGCTAATGTCTTGTTCGGGATATGGGAAGGGTGATGTTAGGAGGAACCTGAGTCAGATTTGTGCAGGCACTAGCCCGTAAAGGCACAGACACAAATGCCTCATGGAAGATTCCTGGCTGACGTCTACAGCCCTTGTGCTTCAAGGGAAATTCAGTTTGTTGTTAGCAAAAGCAAGATGTAAAGCATCTCAGTATGGCTGAATGCCCACCACCTCTCACGGCCGTTTCGGCCAGTGCCAGGCAAAGATTTCTCACACCAAGCTTACTTGTTAGAGCAGATTTCACTGCATGAGTGAGGTGGAGAAATGTCATTTATGAGCGTGAGTATTTCCAGCTGCCTACATCTTGGCTTGAATTTACTTATAGCACGCTGACTAAATTCATCCTACCAGTCTAGCTTAGTAGCAGAGGATTGAGGAAAGTAATTGCCCTTGACTCTATTGGTAGTCAATGGAGGGAAACTGGCACCTCTGGAGAGCGATGCAGGTCTTGGGCAGGATAACTTGTGCTCTGGAGAGTCCTGTTCCTCTCCATTGACTAGAAAGGGGCCCAAGGCAGCTGTGCTCCCAATCTGGGTTTTCTAATTAGGTTCCTAAACTTAGGTGGGAATAATACTTTAAATGCATGCCCAGCTCCTGTTAAAATGCTTCCCTGGTTTGAACAAATTGTTGGTTGCACCAGCAGTTGTGTAGAGTGTGCCCATATCAAACTGCTCCTGGGTTGGCTTGTTTCTTTTACTAATACTGTTGTCGTTCAAAGGTTGGTGAAAAACCTAAACAGAAGAAAAGAAGGCTGGATTCCTGTCCACAGTCTGCAGATAGTAGTCGGTGACTGCAGATTTCGGAATGCCAAAGTCGCAGGTATCATATAGCACGCCTAGCAGAAATATTTCATAACTCCAATCAGGTCTTTTAAGCCATTTGCATTACACTTGATGTACTAAATCTGGCTGCGTATGCCTCTGCAGGAAAAAAAGAAAGCAGCTACTCCAAAAAGCCTGCAAAAGTAGTAAATTAAGCTTTTTTGTTTGTTAACACCTTAAGACGTTTCTGTGACTTTAGGCACTAGTAAATTAAAACGAAGCATTTAAAAACGTAGATTTCTTTGCAAGAGCACTGGGTAGAAGACTGGGGAGAAGAGATGGAGTCTGATGAGGGACTCCCGTGACTGTTTTGCCTACTCGCTGCTGTAGCTCAAACCCCGTGTGAATAGGAGGTACCTAGGCAAAATCTCCTCCTGCTGCAAAAGATGTCGTGGCCTGGGCAATACTTCATTTCTGCAGCCTCACTCTTGCCCTCATTGCTGCCTGCTTGTTAATCCATCCTTAGAAAAAAGTTTATAATAAACAGGCTATCAGGTTTCGGCAGAAGGCTTCTAGTCTCAAAAATCATACTTCTCATTTTCTAGCCATAAATGTATGTAGGAATAGATAGGGAAGCATAACAGATGACACAAGAAAATGCCTTAAGAGCAGCCTGTCACCCTTGCCATGTACGCAGCATCACCATTCCGTGTGTTGCCTCATCACCATGCTGTCCACTGGAAACGGGAGACCAGGGTTTGCGATGGGAGCAGCTCAGGAAACCCACATAGATTTAGTCCATTAAAAAAAAAAAAAGGAATCCACCAGTTATGGCCATATGTAACAAATTTTGCGAGTAGATTTCTTTTTAAATACTTCCTTTTTGTTAAAATCTATTGTTTCGATGAACATGAAGGAAGTCTTCTGAAACGCTTAAAATTCCAGTCAGCTCTTGATGGTTTTCCGGTATATTTCAGTGAAATCCTTCCTATACAGGAAGGTAATTTTTTATCCCCTTTGTTGCAGGGCAGTGAAATTTCACAGGTTGGAGGTTTTCTGACTTTACGTAAGGGGTAGCTTGTAGCGGACTAGCAGCACAGCTGAGAGGACTCCCCTTGGTGGGCTTCCACCCTGGAGCACCATGTGTTGTCTTCTCAGCAAGTCTGGTTATCACATCTCGCCGGGTCCTGGACCACAGCCTGTGCAGGAGGTTTCTCCAGCCATAAATGCATCCTGAAAATAGGGTCCTCCCGGCAAACTTTGAACACTGGTTTGCTTTGTCAGTGGTCGTATCCCCCAAAGCCTAGGGACTCGCAGCTCCAGGCTGGTTTACAAAGTTGCTGAGTACAAACTAAAGAGAATTTCACAAGGTGAAACCACAGGAAGCTCCTCCCGTAAGTCTCACACCACTGCCCAGACGCTTTGCAGTCGTCTTGCCAGGGTCTAGTCGCAGCACCGAGGCTCTGTTTTCCCTGTTAAGATTAACTCTGTTCCCTCTTGCTATTGCTGATCGTGTGCGCAGTCTCTAGGCATGATTCTAATTTTACATGCACTCCAGGCAATATTGTAGGATGTTGTAGGATGTTTTCTTGCTATTTCCTAGAGCTATTCCTAGAGCTTTTCAGTGATGTGTCCTTATAGCCATAATGTACTTGCACTCTGAAAACTGATCTTCAAACAGTACCTTTGCATTTAGCAATTCCCTTTCCTCTGTGGACTGGTTGTTTTATACTGGAGGTGACTTTGTACCGCTGACTGCTGGGGGATGCAGTCTGGATTGGGCTTTTTTCTGCTGCTTCAGAAGATGGAGCTCTTGCTCCAATATAGCAGAGGGAGAATTAGGCAGCCAAGCTTGTAGAGCAAAGTAGGGGCAGGAGGGAGCACCATAAGCCTCACATATTATTAGCTGCTTGTGCTGAAATGCTGTTTTGCATGTAGGCAGGGCAAACTTGATTAACATGTTGTGGGGTCCCCAAGAGCTTAAGTGTGCTGGAATCGCTTCAGAGCTGGGGGAGAGGCGGTCCTGGCCCTTCGCAGGGTGTAGTGCCTCTGTTATTGCTCAGCTCCAGGTCCCCACAATAAATAAAAATATATCTCCAATCCCAGAATTCAATAACCAGATTTCATACCAATCTGGGATTTGGGGTTTGGTGGTTTTTTTTTCAGTGCAAAGCCTTTAGCTGAATAGAGGAAATGGTTCCCTTACCTTAACATTTTTTTCTTAGATTTACACTGTGGCCGTAACAAAAACCTCCCACCACAGGATGGCGGGTACCTGCACGCTTACAAGCTGTTCCTCTCCCCTCCTGCTAATTGTTCCAGTGTTGGGCCAGTACAAATCATAACGAAGTTACAGGGAACTTTTTTCTGCCCATTTTAAGCTATCAGATGTGTATTTGGTCAGTGCCCCACTCCACTACCATTGCCAACTTTGCAAATCCACCATCTTCCTGCACCCAGCCTCCGAGGGAGAGCCTATGTGCAAAGCTGAACTTGCAACATCCAAATGACTCCACAGATGATTTTTCTTCCTTTCCTCACATGGCTGCATAGGTAATTTTCCTTATAGATGAATGGTTACTATTGGCAATGCCATGTAACTGTTGATAAAGCAAGTATTTTGCTCCACATCTTCTTTTACAAAGGGGTGTGTGTGGGGGGGAAACCTTGTTAAACTTTCTGTAAATCTTGGCCTGGATATAAGCCAGGAGGCTTTTTGGGAGGAAGATGACTGCCTTGGAGGTCAGTTTGAAAACCAGTTTTCCCTCTGGTGTGCCTGTAGCTATAATTTCTGAGATTAGTCCTTGCTGCTTTCTTCTGAATAGATTTATTCTCTCCTGTGTAAATCCATGGTGGATTTTTTTTTGTGTGTGCCATAGAAATAGTTTTATATCGCAGGTGATAACACACAGATCTCAAAATGGAAAAGATTTGGAGAGAACTCTGCTCAGAAAAAGCAATATTCAGAAAATAGCTACTGCTCAGATTTACCTGTGTGTTGCTAGTTTTAGCTGCCTTGATAAAGCGGTCAGGCACTGCCTGGTCAACTGACTTGACTTTTATATGCATTGACAAGGAGATGCAAGATTATCTCTTCATTTTCCTTGTGCAAGACGCACATCTCGGGGAAGGTGAGGGCTGCAGCATTACAATCCCAACTCCTCTTCCACAGCGGGGCAGGAGACAAAACATTTCTGCAAGTCCCCTGGTTGCTAACGTGCCAAAGATCATGATTTACAGCACTGACAGTGTCTGTCAGTGAAGGAAAAGGCATCTCGCCTCTCAGCTGTGCTGCAGCACCCACTTCATGGCAAATGGAGAGCAGGGACAGCAGAAATGAGGTCCTTGCCGTAACCCAAAGCAGATGTGTGACTTGTTTTCACTTCAGTGACAGCAGCACCGCAGCCTGCCCTCTCATCGAGGTTAAGCTCTGTCCCTGCTCTTCTTTTCTCTCAGCAGTGATAAACAGACACAAGCAAAAGAAACATGTTGTTCGCTCCTGAAGTTTCACATCAGAGCGAAATGGGGCCAAAGCGTTTTCAGCTTTTTTCACCTGACCTTTAAAAGCTGGGCAGAGAGAAGGGCAAGTTTCCGATTTCCACTCACTGCGTGGAGGTTGCGTGAGACTGATTTCTGTTAGAGGGAGCATGAAACAGAGTAGCCTGAATAAAAAAGGGATTCAATTGAAAAATGGAAGCAGTGATAAATGCCTTTACTTATTAGATTATATATATAAAAGGAATATTGCTACAACTTCCAAGTTCTTTCAAACAGCGAAAGAAGTTTTATGGCAGAATTCGACTTGATCCCAAAGGCAAGGAGCATTCAGAGCAGGCGTGGAAGGATGCTCTGTGCCAGGGGTGCACGCACCCGCTTGGTTTAAGGAGGACGGAGGCTCCTGTTCCACATGCCAGACCCTCTCCTAGTTTGTTTTAACACCCCACTTGCCAAATTATCTCTTCTAAGCCTTAAGGGGATCCCCTGTGTGTGCTCTTCATGCAATAAAGCTGAGTAAAGGTTTCCCCCGCTGATAGTGCCTGAAGGACCGAGCTTGCACGTCCTCTGCTCCTGCTGGCCAGGGCGGTGGGGATCGTCCTCTCGACTGTCGTGAGCTTGAGGCAACCCTTTATGTGGCTCCCTAGGCCGCATGGTTTGAATCTGCCCGATAAGAGTATTGTACGTGGCTGAACTCTCGAGCTCTTGCAGGCTGGCGCAAACATGTTGGCTGAAATGCGCAAGTTTTGTCTAAGTTCTGTTTAAAATGCCACTTGTAGTTTTGCAGATGCAGCACAGCTGTTTGCACTATTACTCATGCACTTTAATGATTGCAGCCACAGGCTTTTGTATTTATGCAGGGGCCATTAAAGGTAAAGTTGATTTCTTTTTGGCCTTTGAAATGTAAAGCAGGGTCTCCTTGTACAACCTGTGATGCCAGCCAGCTTCACAGAACAGCTGTTTTGTAACACTGTAAAAAACCATTTTGAGCCTGACGAAATAAGGAGTCTAGAGAAGATACCGGCTGGCTGGCCGCGCTGTGATAATCAAGTGATAGGTGATGGAAATGCGTCAAACCCTGCGGTCCTGCCTTAGACAAGACTCTCGCTGAAGCTAGTGGGAGTTCAGCTTTTAGGGAGAACTGCAGGAGTGCACTTACTTTTTTTTATGTTATACAAATGTTACATGATTACAGGGAACAGTGTATTTCTTGGAATGAGATGCTTTAATATTAACATCAGTCTTCATTACTTTATAGATGCTGCCCTGTGTAACACGAGAAAGTTTAGTTCCCCTTGAATTGAGGGTGAACTAGTAGCATCCTATTTTCGATGCTCTTTGGAAGCTTTCGACTAAGTGTTACAGAGAAATAGCACAGTAGTTGGAGTTGTCCTGTACTATTCATCACATTCACAGACCTCCACAGCTTCATCTGCACTGAACGGGACTGGGGTCCTAAGCAGCTTCTCATAGTCATAAAGGAAGCCATTCTCTGCTCTTTCTTTTTTTCCTCCTATGGAAAGTTACAGTATTTTATTAATTTTACCTGCCGTTTTTCCATGACATCCATCATGTTTCATCAGAGAAGTACACGACAGTTTCCTGACACTTTGTTTAGATGCTTGGAATTTCCTCTGCAGGTTGAAGGCTTTACCTACTTATTAGCTGACAACTGTTGAAGTTGCAAACAAGAGAGTTGAGTTTTGGTAAAACAACAAAAAAAACCCAAACAAAGAAGCTCTATGTCCTGCTTAATTGATTTTATGAATGGATTTTTCTTAAATATCTACTTCAGCTATGTGAATGTAATGTTCTGTAAGAGCATCATCTGGCTGACTCACATGCGAAGATGCAATAACGCTAAAGATCCTCTTTTTGCACTTAGGGTCTGACTCCAACCCATTGCAGTCAGTCCCGTTGATTTCAGTGAGGTTTGGATCAGGTCAAACTGACAACTCAGGGTTGTCGCCAATCACTTAGGGTCCCAAAGTGTCCCAAGGCTGAAACCTGTATCTAGCAAGTGTTGAAGTTTACATTAAATGTATGTACTTTTGGAACACGTGCCATAAATCGAAGTTAAATGTCCATGTTTGCACTAAGGATGTTCTTGTGATAAGACTGTACTTTTCAGCATCTTTAACAATGATGTATCTATTGAATTTTTGAGAAAGAAAAAAGAATATTGAACACTCATAATTTAATTTTGTGTTTCTTTGTCTAGTTTTGCTTTTGTAGAACATAGGTACAGGTGGTTTGACTTCTAAGCAGATGTGTGCAAAGAGCACCTGACTGTGTTGAGAACAGGGTTAATAGTATGCATGCGGTAGTGAATTTGCTCTGTCCCGTCAAAATGAAATGTTTTATACCGTGGACTAAAGGGGGACCTTTATGATCTGACTTTGATTTGTGAACCATGGATTCTTAGACACAGTCCCAAGTCGTTAAGTTAAAACATACTGGGGTGGGGGTTTTTTTGGTGACCATTTTTGTATGGAGGATTTGTTGAACTACTTGATGCCTGTGGTTGCCCGGGGGGTTCCCTGCCACGCTGGCACGCAGTGGTGGGCATTTCTCCAGTTCAGGTGGCCAGCATTGCGGGTAACCCCCGTACGCCCCCAAAAACGTGACCAGCTGAGCCTGAACTGAGCAACTCTGCAAGACCTAGAAAGACCCCAGTATTCTTCAGCCACTGGCAATCGTAGCAGAGAGGTTTTAAGTCATTGAAGGTTATTTCCATCGACTTAAAAATTGGTCACAATGCACTTGCTAGGTGGAAAAGTAGGAGTCTCTTAAGTTACTGTCGGGGGTGTTTATGGTGGTAACAATTGTTGTGGTAACAGTACACATTTTGAGGTACAACTGTAAATATTTGTCTCAAACATAGCACACATTGCATATTAAATGGTTTTAATCTTTTTTGTCTTCCATAGTTTTAAATCTAAGCTTTTATTAATTTATGAGGTTGATAAGTTCTGCAAATCTGAATGTACAGTCTGAGATTTTTAACATTTGAAACTTTGCACACGACATGGTATGTTACCTTAAGTATGCTGTTGAACTAGGCTCTTCATGTATATGTTATTATAAATTACATAGAGAATTTTCTCTGACTGCAAGTTGAAATGAACTATATTGTATATGTACCTGTAAAAAAATGTGTTAAATCTATATTTAAAGATTAAAAACTTGTTAAATAAATTAATATGAGAATATGCAATTCTGTCCAAAGACACCTCTGCTATAATTCTAGAGGAAAAAAAAAAATTCTCACAGCGTTGTTTTTATTTAACCTTCTTACATGCGTTTTGATTTTAAAATAAGCAGTGGCAGATGATCCAATTAGCTTCTTGCTGGATGTAGTGGCAATGAAATTGGGAGAGGCACCTTAGCGCTCATACTGATGTCTGAAATAGCAGCTATTAAAATCCTGCCCTGGCTCAGGGTGTCTCCATCACCAGCCTCCCCTGCATCCCAGCACCGGGCAGCGCTGCCAGCAGGGACCTCCAGGCTGGGGGCCGCGGGGCCGTGCTTGTGGGTGGGTGCACGGAGACCGCGTGGGCATCGACAGCCCTTTCGCAGGTGGTGTGGGGGGGAGAGGTGGTCTTGGGGGCACATCTCACCAGGCAGGAGGGAGGAGACCCTCGTCACCGGGATTCTGCCTTTGGGGACGTGCTTGCAGTGTGGTAAAGCCCGTGCACGAGCTGCCCGTGCCAGGCATAACAGGGTACGGTTCCCAAAGGCCATGCTGTTTCCCCGTGCACCCCTGGAGTTTTCCATGGAAGGAGATACAAGACGAACCAGCACTGATCAGAGGTAAACCTCCTTTCCTCTGGGATTATTCCCTTCCCTTGAAGTTGGGAACCAAATTAAGCCCATTTGAGTCAGCCCGGCACAGGACCTCTGCCCAGCATAGCCTTCCCTGGGATGCCACCTCCCCTTCCCCATGCCTCGGTGCCAGCACCCACCCTGGGCACGGGGCAGGCACCTCCCAGCGAGGT